GTATTCAGACCCCTTGACTTTTTCCACATTTTATTACGTTACAGCCTTATTCTAAAATGGATTAAATAAATACAAAATTCAGCAATCTACACACAATACCCCATAATGACAAAGCGAAAACAGGTTTTTAGAAATGTTTGCTAATTTATAAAAAATAAAAAACAGAAATACCTTATTTACATAAGTAAACCATACTATAGCTACGTTGTGTTTTGATGTACACTGGACAAAGTCAATAATAATAGCTACCATAGTCCTTTTCTAGCCGGCTAGATAGCTAGCCATAACTGGCTGGATATCTATCTACACTGAAAATATATATAAACGCAACATGTGAAGTGTTGGTCCCATGTTTCATAAGCTGAAATAAAAGATCCCAGAAATGTTCAATTTGCACAAAAAGCTTATTTCTCTCATATTTTGTGCACAAATTTGTTTACATCCCTGTTAGTGAGCGTTTCTCCTTTGCCAAGATAATCCATCCACCTGACAGATGTGGCATATCAAGAAGCTGAATAAACAGCAGGATCATTACACAGGTGCACCATGTGCTGGGGACAATAAAAGGCCATTCTAAAATGTGCAGTTTTGTCACACATCACAATGCCACAGATGTCTCAAGTTGAGGGAGCACGCAATTGGCATGCTGACTGCAGGAATGTCCACCAGAGCTGTTGCCAGAGAATCTACCATAAGCCGCCTCCAACGTCATTTTAGAGAATTTGGCAGTATGTCCAACTGGCCTCACAACCACAGACCTCACAACCGAAGACGTGTATGGCGTTTGTGTGGGCGAGCGGTTTGCTGATGTCAACGTTGTAAAAAGAGTGCTCCATGGTGGCAGTGGAGTTATGGTGTGGGCAGGCATAAGCTACGCACAACGAACACAATTGCATTTTATCAATGGCAATTTGAATGCACAGAAATACCGTGACGAGATCCTGAGGCCCATTGTGAGGCCCATTTTTTTTAAAGGTATCTGTGACAAACAGATGCATATCTGTATTCCCAGTCATGTGAAATCCATAGATTAGGGCAGGGGGTGGGCAAAGTACGGCCCGTGGGCCGCCGCCGGGCCTGCAAGACATTTTTTAAATGTATTAAATATGATAATATTTTAGTTACGATTTTTGGCCTAAAATTACTCATTGCATGATATACAAAAAAACTCTAATAGATGGTGCCTGGCAGCGCGCTCTATATTTGGGCCTACAGTCAGATTCAGAATGCACTCAGTCATCATAGCCATTGCTTGATGACTTTTGACGTGAAAAATGATTGCTGCGAAAATGAGAAAAGTGCACTCTGAATGTCGTGTGTTTAAAGAAGAATGGACAGCAAGATAGGTATGTTCCTTGATACGGTTGGTAAAACTGACGACTTCTCCGAGTTGAAAGACACAGACTGGCTAGGCGACTTTGCTTTCGGTGTGGACATATTGGGGCATCTGAACGATCTAAACTGCAGGGAAATTGTGTTTTTGTGCATGAACTGTATTCCAACATGAAAGCATTCAAGGCCAAACTTATGTTGTTCTCCAGACAAATGAGCAGCCGGTCTCGCGCTCATTTTCCGACACTGGCCGCACTGAACGCGCCCACATCGCAGTGCCGCACTGAGACATACAGTAGCACTTTGATCGACCTGCATGCTGAGTTTTCCCGCCGCTTCTCACACTTCACCAAGATTGAGACTGAGCTGGAGCTTGTATCATGCCCTCTGTCTTTCGACAGTGAGAAAGCACCACCAGACACACAATTGGAGCTCATCGACATCCAATGTGACAGTGCTTTGAAGGAGAAGTACAAAACAGCAACAACAGACCAGTTTTATGGCTCACTGAATGAAACAAAGTTTCCAAACATTAAAAAGCACGCCCAAAGGATGCTTGTTCTATATCGTGGAGCTCCGCCCCATAGGGGAGCTCTGCTCCTATTAGTTTACCCACTGCCCTAAGGCAGCATCAGCCTGAGACAAAATTATGCACACACCTGCAGCCAATAGGAGTACAGGTGTCCCTATAAGAGGGGACGCTTCCCCTCAATCAGCCTCCCTTTATCTTCAGCGACTGGACTAGACTGAAGAAGCCAAGAAGAGACGAAGAGAAGACTCAGGACGAGATACGCCGTCGGATTTTCCAGTCATCGACGTCGTCCTAAAATGAGCACACCAAGTTTTTGAGGGTTGAGGTTGAGGTGTCATTTGAGGGTTGAGGTGTCATTTAGCAGACGCTCTTATCCAGAGCGACTTACATGAGCAATTAGGGTTAAGTGCCTTGCTTAAGGGCACATCGACAGATTATTCACCTAGTCGGCTCGGGGATTACAACCAGCGACCTTTCGGTTACTGGCACAACGCTCTTACCCACTAAGCTACCTGCCGATTTTTCCATCCACAAAAGCTCTTTTCAGAGCTCAATGTCGCTGTTCCCCTTGGCGGCTGTCGACCCCCACCGACTTATGTTTCGTGGGTTGAGGGACACAGCACGCCAGGGACGGCCTCATTAATCCCCCACTATGCGCCAGCTGCGCCCTCCTTTTTTGAAGGAGAGGAAGCAGCGTTGGGCATTTTTAGGGAGGATATTCCTCTTGAGGATGTGCTATCAGTGTTAGCCTCAGCTTCTGAGGCATCATCTGAAGGCGCTGACTCAGGAGATGACAGGGCTATTGGGGAGGAAATGAATATTCTATTGGAACAATTCATTACACTGACCCAGATGTTTTAACACCCCTTTTTCCCTCAGGAAAGTGTGAGGTCATTTACATCCCTGGATGATGACGCCACAGCCTCTCTGCGCTCTGAATTTCCAGGTCTCATTGAGAGGGCTGCTAAACGGCTGGAGATTAAGCTGCCCCCCATTCCCTCCAACCGGAAGTGGACATGATGGAGGGTGGCTCTCACTCTCGCTACTGCTCGGCGTCGTGCCCGGCGTCAGACGGCGGCCTCCAGCAGCAAGGGAGCGCCCCTCCTACAGCTCCAGAGGTGCCGACCATTCCGCCGGCGAGAGAGGTCATTAAAGCGTCATCCTGGCATCACCCGAAGGGCGGCCAGAAGAGACGCCGTTTATGACATGGCGAGGGGGAGAGAACGGAAGACGGCGCTGCACCTAGTGTGACTGTGCCCACTGTTCCCCCCCCCCACCCTACCGTTGAGGGTATGGAGGAGAATGTTTTTGTTGATGTGTGTAATAAAGAGTTGGCTCCACCTGACTTTGTCAAAAAGAGCCCCTTTTCCATAATATATCCGAGAGCGTTCGACCTTCCTCACTCTCGCTCTCTCTCTTTCACCACTCTGAGTGCAGCTCAGCCCACCACGGGTGCGTTGCTGAGCACACACAGGAGGTGAATGTTAAAAAGGTATCAAGGCGCCGCCTTGTGTTACCTCATAGAGATTTCACATTACAGACTCCTAGGAGTACTGTATGAGGTCTCACCACGGTTAGCAGTTGACGATGAGCAACGCTAGG